ATATTGTACTGCCTGAACAGCAGTCCTGGATCGAAAAAGAAAATTCTCTGGTTCAGGCAGATAGTTGCATGTTCACAGATGGATCAAAACGCCGGAAGGGATCGGAGCAGGAGTATACTACCAGACACCTCGAATTCAGCAAGCTTACAGCCTGGGCACGTACTGTACTGTATTCCAGGCGGAAGTATTTGCTATTGACGTGGGTGCTAAAATCCTTCTTGAGCGAGGGATGAAGAACATGACAGTACGACTTTCTCTGATCTGGGTCCCAGGTCACTCTGGGGTTGCTGGCAATCAAGCAGCAGATGAGCTGGCACGAGCGAGCAGCACGAAAGCGTTTCTGTGGCCAGAACTAGCAGTTGGTGTATCATTAGCGATGGCCAAACATAGGATTAGACTGTGGGCTGAAGAGAGATTTCGCCTACTGTGTACCAGTTCTCCTGGAATGAGATATGCTAAGATGTTTATTAACATCGCCACTGTCAAACCCGGGAATATTTTAGGACTTGCTCGTAGTAGCATAAAAGTTCTAATGGGTGTCTTTACTGGGCACTGCCGATTAAAAGCATACATCAACTTGTTGGGTTAACCGACGATGTTGAATGCCGACTGTGTGCGGAGGAAGCGGAGACGGTTGAGCAGGTTTTATGCCACCGCCCTGCTGTTAACCGTATCAGATACTCAATTTTTGGGTCGCAGTTTATCTCCCCAAAGGATCTGAAGCACTGGACTGCACCGTGAAATTTGATAACTATATCTATCGGGGTACAATAGATCCTTAGTTCGCGGTACAAGGTTGGTTGGTCCGCTACCCGATATGTAATCTATGTAATGTAATTAAATGTAATGTAATTTAATATAATGTAATGTATTCATAGGTACTGCTATTTTTATCATGTCTAGGAAATTTGAAGTAGTTAAAGTTTAAAGTAATTTTTCTCGAAAATTTTCTTATGTAACCAATATTAATATTGACTGTACTTGATTAAAAAAAAATCTTTCATATACCGTAATAAAAATGGGGGAATGCCTTTTGAAAAAAACGTCGATGTCGTCATAAATCGTCTAAAAATGGCGGAAAATATTTAAAATCTTCACCAAAAAATTTAAATCTTTAGACACGTTTCAGGGATTTTTCCAGAAACCGTTTATAATGATTTTATTGCCTATATCCGCTACTTCACGGACACACTTTATAGTATGATTGATAAAGTGTAAATACACAAGAGTTTAATTTTTAATCAAATAATTTTGTGCTTTTGATCTGCCCATCAATATTCTTTCTAGAAGCCAAAAAATTTTTGTGAATATGAAGTAAAATTTGCCCGAAGTTTGCGCGCTAGAATATCGGCGCAACAAATTTAACTTACACCCCAGCATGCTCAGCAGTGAGATTTTGTCAAGAAAATATAAATCGGAAATGGCGGGGTGTTGTATTTTCGGATGAAAAAACATTTCTGTCATCGCAATATTCACAACTTTCTCATTCCAACTGTAAGGGCAGTATATCCTAAGGATGAAGTGAAGGTTTTAACATTTGATAAATAACTTCTACTTGCTTTATTTAAATATACAGTCGTACATGTTTCAGGAAATTATTCGCATCTTCAGCGACAAGCTATTAAAATAATGAAAATCACATTAGATATTAATCTTATGGTAACATTTAAAATCAAATAACTAGAATTAAAAATGAAAAGTGAACTCTGAACATATTAAAAAAGAACTCACCGTCAGGAACCGTAAGAAGGATCACAAACCAAGCAAAGCATATAAAAAATAATNAATTTTATTTTTGTAATTGAGCATTTTAGTTTTATCTATGAAGTTAATAGAATTTGAGATTGAATATGTAGGTTTAAAATCTATTTTCTTAAAAATTATCATTAAAAATTCGGCTATTTTTGTTGTTGGTGAAGAATTAAAAGAAGTAATGGGTCTGATAGGTATGTCAATTTTATGCATCTTAGGTAAAGCATAAAGTCTCGGTATTTTCGGATTCATGTGCATAAATGTTGAGCTGTTAAAGAAACAATTTATTTTATTTTTAAGGAAAGGCGTAAATTCAATCAATGTGTCCTTGCATAGATTAATTATTTCTCTCGTTTTTCTAACTATTCTATCAAGTGGATTGTTTTTTAATTTATTATAGAAGTTATTTGACATGAAATCGTAAGTCTTTTGTAGGTAGTGTTCTTTTTTCATAATTACAATACCCGCTCCTTTGTCTCCTTTTACAAAAATAGAATCATTTTCTTTTAGTTTGTCCGAAACATGTACGACTGTATATTTAAATAAAGCAAGTAGAAGTTATTTATTATTTATTACATATTTAACTTGCAACATGGATTCCAATATATATTTAACATTTGAGGTTGGTCGGCTCAATGACATCCCGTTTAGAAACATGTCCCAACCCAATCCAACCCAACCCATTATTAAATCTAACAAATATATTTTTAATTCATCATTACTATCCGTGCCAAAAGATAAGGCCCCTCACTTTAGAGATCGATATCTTCGTAACCGCTCGATGAAAAAAATTGCGGTATAGTATATTAAAAAACAAGTTTCGTAAGACACGCTTGAAATGCACGTTGAAATTCAAGTTGAAAAACTCGTGGCTTCGCCACGAGTTTTTTAATGAATGAGTGCTTTAAGTCTTATGAAACGTGTTTTTTATGCTATTTTTTGTAATTCGCGTTTTTATCCTTTTTTTTTAACAAAAATAAAATAAATTTTGACAATGTAGGGAAATAGGTATGCAGCAGTTGGTAGAACCGTAACACTTGAAAATAGAAATTTGAATTGACAATTAGAAACTGTCAAAACACAAAATATATTCACCTGAAAAAAATGTTTGGTGTACACCTTCCAAAATAAGTGTGAGTCAATGTCCTCATCATTGTGGACCTTGTATTCGATGCTAAGAACGTGTTTAAACATCCATAGACAAAAATTGTCACATTGACAACTAGAAAAATTAATGACCCAATGTCACCAACTTGAACTGCTTCCATAAAATGTTACTAAAATGTCATTACAGTATCGGATGCTGTAAGGAGTCTCATTACAGCACTCGTTTGAGTACTGTTAGAGCTTTCGTTACCGTCGTGAATTACAAAAAATATTTTTATAATCACTGAATATTTATACGTAACATATTTGAATTTGAAATTGCGCGATTTTCTTTTTATCGCGAGTTAAATGCAAAAAGTACCCGATTTTTGAGAGAACGGACAACTTTATCCACTTTGGTATGATGATAATTATATATCCTTAGGATTTATGAATAGTAATGTTAATCCGCAGTGCGTTATATGCAGCAAAGTTCTTCCAAATAGTTCTATGGCTCCAGCTAAAATACGTCGACATTTGGAATCTGTTCATGGCACCTTAAAGAAAAAAATGTTGAATTTTTCAAGCGAAAGTGTGACGAACTTGTAAAATTAAAAACATTTTTGGTTCAAACCACAAAAACGATTAATAAAAAATCAACTGAGGCTTCTTACTTGGTCAGTTATCAGTTATCAAATAGCTCAACGCGGTGAAGCCTACTCAATTGCGGAAAATCTAATAAAACCTTGCGATATGGAGATGGTAAAATGTATGTTAGATCAAAAATCAGCAGAAGAAATAGGTAAGATCCCACTATCGAATGACACGATATCTCAGCGCATCAGAAATTTAGCAACCAATATAAAGAATGAACTTACTTTTCGCCTAAAACCATGCAAATTTTCATTACAAATGGACGAATCTACCGATATAGCTGAACTCAGAAACACTCATCAGAAATACTTCATTTTTATTTATTTAATTGATTCTAATTAATATTTTTTAATTTTCGTATTTGTATTTTAACCAAAGAATTCTCAACGACGAAATAATAAAGAAGGAATTTGTATACGTGAAGTCATTTATCCAAACTCGAGTAGTTGCAAAAAAACTTTGTTTATACTACATACTCGTTTGATATGTGTGATCCATTAAACTGTCGGTCGGCTAATGGGGTCATACACACTTATTAAATTTAGAGAAAATTTTTATGTCAAACGATATATGCAAGTATATGCATGAACACAAAGTAAGAGAAATATTTTGATCAATTTTATATTTTGCGTAATTTGAAGTGAAAAATAGCAAATATTCAAACGAAATAATTTCGCGGCTTTTCTGTGACGTAGGAACCGCACTGCCTAAAACAAGTTAAATTGTCCGTTAGATAGCGCTTGCGGTGTGACAGTGTCAAAATAAAACCATGGATGTAATAGAGTGTCTCTATTACATCCATGAACAAAACATAATAAACATAACCTACAAACACTCTATCTCTTTTCAATACAACCTAAATGACGTTCATCTCTTCCTCGCATTTGAGCGGGGAGCAGGGGACGCAAAAGTGAGAATCGTACGTCATCAACGCGGGAATTTTAAAAGCGCAAATGGGTATATAAATTTTCAATAATTTTTTTAACAATGACTTTGTTCGAAAATATTAAAAAAAAAATAACGGTAACTATATTTTTATATAAATTTTCAGAAAATATAATAAAAAAAAAATCGTGTATGACCCCATTAGCAAGTTAATTTTTGGTTCTCTATTATAAAAAAAGGACAGATATTTTTTAAAATATTTAGATGTAATGCTTAAAGTAATTAAATATTTTATATGTTAAAAAATTTCGTGTTCAATCACATAAATTCAATTAATCTTTTATTCTGAGTATGCAACTTCTACTACAAGTTGGATTTCCAATTTTATTCAATTCATTCATTAATGATGTTTTTCTCGTTTGCCCTTAGAGGCAGCACGAGCTAGAGCACCCCAACTCGATCGGTTGGATAACTATGTATATCTATAAACAAGGATTTAATATAATTAAATTCAAACTATTTAATTTACTAGTGTATGCAACCCAAATTGTAAATATTTTCTGACAGATAACATTTAAATTTTAGATATATTATTTTTATAAACATACATAATAAAACACATATTACGATCAACAAACTTTATTTACACATATTAACTAATGACAACTCAATCACTTAACTGTATTCCGCGAAAAAATCAAAGAAAACATTGCAATCTTTTTTGCTTAATGCTCATACCCTTTCTAACGATTTCTTTTACAAATATGCTTTTAAAAATCATTTTCCTTTCTTAACCTAAAACCCATTATCTTTCATCCTTCTCCAAACACATCTTTTAACAACAGAGAAAATTAAAACACACATTAGACAATAAACACGTACATTTTAATGGTATATGTACTAGTATCTAGACAATAGATATTTATGTTCTTGTATATCAGTATACCTATAGGCACTAAGTCTATATCTGTAAATAGTGAAGGAAAATAATAACAAAAACAAAATCGTACAAAAGTTCTAGTTCCTTTTTTTTATTATATTTTTGCTTATTTTTCTCTCCTATTTTTTATTATTAGTTTTAATATCGTTTAATATTTTTTAAATTATTTTGTCCTTGGACTAGAAAACGGAAAAATAATAAAATAAACTAAAAAAATAGATTAATTGAATTATTTTTTGGGATTCATTTCAATTGAATGTGATTTTTGGCACAAATTTTTATAAGTAAAAAAAATAACGTATTAAAATTATTAAATAAAAGGAAAAAGTCTTATTTAAGATAATGCCAAAATAAGTTATTCAAAGTTAACCTTGCTAGGGCACTGAACATAAGTATAGTTATGGAAACAAACCATTCAATTATAAGCAAAGCTCTTATTTTTTCCTAACCCTTTAACACACCACAAATTAGAATGTTATGAACTTAGATTGCCAACTTATAACAATTGTAAGTTAAAGAGTTAATTAAACTTAGTTACTAAAATCAAACAAAAACAAAAAAAATCGAAAGCTATTCCTAAAAAAGCACATATTAAAAAAAAAATAAGAGCTTAACCTAAAAATGTTTTCTCTATTTTTATAAAAACAAAAAAAAAAGATTCTTAACACCAGTCTCAGATTTAAACATATATCGCTCCCTTTTATAGTTAGCTTGGTCCTTCAGCCATTTCCTGATCACTTTTAGACAAAATCATTGGTTCACCTCCCCCCAATCGATTAGGACTAGGACTATCAATCATCCTCATTTGAAAGCTAGGTGAATCGGCGCTCGATAGAGATTCGGGTGTCCCCACAGAACTCAATGATCCAGGTAACGGACTCGAAGTTGCTGTAGATGCAGAAACTGTCGATGTTGTTAAAAGCCCCCCACGATCATTAGTAAAACTATGAAACCGTTTTGTACGAGGACTTAACCCGAACGAGTCGCTTTTTTCCTCTTCTAATTTTCGTTTAACCCCTCCTAAAGGACTTGCTCTTAAAACAGGACTACAACTTCGGCTGATAAAAGCTTTAGCTCGAGTGGGACTTTGAAAACCAGGTGAATTTAAACGTGTAGGTGAAGGAGAATTACATAAAAATGATGAATTTGTGTGGTGATTGGGTAAGTTAATTTGAAGGGGCCCCATTCTGCCCGGTTTTTCAGTGTCATTTACCAATCGGAGATCCTCCCAAGATTGTGAGATTTGCATCCGCGTTTGAACTTCTCTTTCGTGCGCTTGCTCGCGTTGATTCGCTAAATCGGCGCACTCTTCTTGCCGGATCTGATTTATTCGTGGTGTTAAACGTAAATTTCCACCCTAAATTGTTATCGTTTAATTTTAAATGCGCTTTATTTTTATAACTTACCGATGAACCTGTTAATGGACTAGAACTTGCGCTTAATCTCCTCGGCCGTGTATTTGATGGACCAAAAAGTGAAAATGATGTTTGATCCCTAAATTATATAGAAAAATTTAAATAACCTCAAAATGTCATTTATAATTCGACCTAACCTCAAATTTTACAACAAATTAAAACTGATTAAGATCATTAAAAAAATGTGGTAATTTCTTAACCTGTTATTTGAATTGTTGGGTGCTGATGCGGTCATACTGTTGGAGCCGCTATTTTCGTGAATCATTGGGGCACTGGAGCACCGTTTGAGGGTCCCCGTTGTTGTTGGGGAGTCAACGTCCATCGCTGTCACCGGATTTATGGACATTCATAAACACGCAAATAAAGCAAGGCATCGGCGGAGGAGATGTTAAGATACGCGTCAACTACTCGCTTGGGTTGGGACTTCGCCCTCGGTATTCATCCGAGGGGCGACAGCGGCTTTTTTTTATTTAAAAATAAAAAAACTTTGCCGACACTCCAGCGCAAAACCGTACCTGTCAAATAATTTTTAAAATCGTCCGCTAGAGTGACGCGATTTAAGCGCGAAATTTAAATCATTTTGTTAAAAAAAAAAAATAGATTTTAAAAGAATCTTTAATATTAACTTAAATTGTACGTTTTTTAACTTACAAAAAATTATAATCATAAAAATATAATTATTATAATAAATTATAATAATAATTATAAATTATAACTAATTATTGTTTCATTTTTTTATTTGGAAATTTTCCTACATTTCCTTTTCCACCACGGTTACCGCCACCGAAATTGCCCCTCGCGGCTGGTCTTGTTCTTTGATTTTGCCCACCTCGCCCTCCTTTATTATCCCGCCCACGATTTTTAACTGCGGTTTCTTCCTTCACCATATCAATAACCTCATCAGGGATTCTCAAATATTTGATTGTACTCCCACGAATGTAGCATTCAGGCATTCTCCAAAACTTATCCCCATCCTAAAAGCAATAATTATAATCAATAAGAAATTTTGTCCATTTTTATTACCCGTGAAGTGCAAATAACTTCTCGTAAGTTGATATTCATCCAATTATCACAACTTACTAAGTGTCCATTGTAAGTTTCACCATTTTTAAGCTCAACAAGCTGAAATTAAAGTGGTTTTAGTAAGAAATAAGTTTTAAGATGATTATGAACGGAAGAATTTATTTACCATTGGATGGTTTTGTGCTGTACGCAATAAAGATAACGGAAGCTACAATTTAAATTTTATTAATTAAATAAGATTTAAATCAATTATTTTAAAAGTTATTACCATTTCTATTTAATTGAAAAAATCCTAACCTCGAAAATTTATTAGAAATTCTGTAACAGTAAGTACCAACTTATTTTTAGTTCTAAATAATAAAATAAATATAAAAACGGTTTTAATTAAATTTAATATTAATAAGTTATTTGTTGTTAAATATCAATTTTAATGTTTATTTTACTCTAAAAACAAATTTTTAAAAGTAAATGTAACAAATAAATGATTCCATTGCATTTCAAGAAAATCCCTAGATTTAAGTAAATAACGCAAATCTTACAATTAATGAGTCTTTTGAATTCTAAAAGATTGAGATTAATAAGATAAATTTTATTTAAATTGTTTAAATAATTTTGAAATTGTGGTTAATTTAATCAAAGCCATCTCAGGAATATCAAAACAAACGAAAATCATCTGTTAATCATAAAAAAAATCTATAACCTCACTTTTATCAATCCCGCACTATTTAAATTTCCAGTTTCATCAAAACTAGTCCGAAAATGATTCTCCTCGGTGATGAATTTCCTAATTTTGAAGCTGAAACCACGGAAGGATCTATCAAATTTCATGAATTTTTAAATGAATCGTAAGCCAACCCAACCTAACCTCAAAAATATTTCAGGAATTAATTTAATTGTACGTTTTAATTTCAGTTGGGGTATCCTTTTTTCACATCCAGCCGATTTCACTCCTGTTTGTACAACAGAATTGGCAAGGCTTATAAAATTACACCCTGAATTTGCAAAACGTAACGTTAAAATCATTGCTTTATCGTGCGATTCAGTTGAAAATCACAAAAAATGGTTTGAAGACATTAAAAAGTACGCTCAGTGTAAAGCAGAGGATGTATTTCCGTATCCTATTATTGCTGATGAACAACGAAAATTAGCAGTCCAACTTTCGATGCTTGATCCGAACGAAAAAGACTCTGCTGGATTGCCATTAACAGCACGAGCTGTTTTTATTGTTGATCAAAATAAAAAATTGAGATTATCAATTTTGTATCCAGCAACAACAGGAAGAAATTTTGAGTTAGTATAATTAGTTAAAATATTTAAGGTTATGATGTATTCTTTTTTTGTAGTGAAATCTTAAGGGTTGTTGATTCTTTACAAATTACTGATAAGTTTCAAATTGCTACTCCAGCGGATTGGAAGCAAGGTGATAATGTTATGGTACAACCGAGTGTTCCAATGGAAGAAGCACAGGTTTTATTTCCAATGATGAGCGAAATGGCGTTACCTTCAGGGTTGAAATATCTTAGGCAAACTCCTCAACCGAAAATCAATTAGGTCATTAGCGGACTAAAAATATAAAATAAAACTTTTCATATTTATAAAAATCTTTTATTGATAGAATCAAAAAAATGTTATACCAAATAAAATTCAGTTCCACTTCTCAATAATTTATTATGGCACATTTTACAACATCTCTAACAAGAAAAGATTCAATTAAAATTAAAATCAAGGTTATTTTAATGTCAAATTAACATTTTTAGGTTAATTTTATCATAATTAAAATCATAATTCATCATCAAAATGATGAATATTATGTAAATGATCTCCATAATCAGTAGCTTCACTTCCAACAAAAATATCATGGTGTTCTAAAATTTCATCAAAACTTAACATTTCATCATGGTCATCATCACTTGTGGCAAATAAATGATCAACTTCTTCTTGGGCAATTTCATCATTGCTAGGAATTAACCAAGAAACAATTTCTTCCCCTGTTAATTTCCCATCATGATTTTTATCAAGTTCATTATCAAATTTTTGTTTTTCAACATGTAACCATTCTTTATCATGTTCCCTACCTCTTTCACCAATATATTCTTGAAAAGTAATTGTTTTATCACCATCTAAATCTTTTTCTCTTAAAGTTTGATCCAAAATAAATGGAATCATGGCAGGATGTTCTTCAGGATGAGTAAAAGCAACCCATTCTTCCCCTTCCAAAATTCCATCACCGTTAACATCCGCTATTTTCCACATATCATTATCATCTTTCATTAATTGTTCATTATCGGATGCTATTTCATTGCTATCTTCCATTCCATAAGTGTCTTGAATGTATTCTTCCCAAGTTACTTTAAAATCATTATTTTCATCAGCGTCCTCTAAACGCTCTTGAGCTTCTTCTTCTGTTAACATTTTAAAAGACCTTAAAATCCATGCTTGAAGTTCTTTTCTTCCAATTTTTTTATCACCATTCAAATCCATTTTAGTGAGAAGTATTGCGAGTCGCTTCTTAGATTCTTCCGGAGATAAATGATCGAACTCCTCCGCTTCCTTAACTGAACCCAAAATAGCTTCATGGTCAAATTCACTGTGATGTTCGCCACTATCAGATAAATGTCCTCTATCTTTTGGACTATAAGCACCGTCTTGTTCACGTTCACGATTTAAATGCTGCGAATGGCTGTGCATTACCGCTCCATGAGTAACGATTAGATAAAAACATGATAAGAAGACGGAGAGGAAGCAAAAATTCCACATCCTTTAACGTTTTGTTTACAAGAAATGTCACATTTTTTGACGTTTTAGATCGTTGATATGTGTATAAATAGATCGAGATTTGTTGATTTGAATTGTTATCTTTCTTTAACACTAAAGAAATTGTATTTGTTGTCTTTGTTCTTATTTCGTTGTGAAATAGTACGCGTATAGTTTTGAAAGGTCAATTGATTGTTTGTTGTCAAATGAAGTTGCTTTAGTGATGGATTAGATTAGATTCTTATGAGGTTATCTCTTTTTAATATTAATAAAATCATATTTTTTACCTTTTTCTAATGTTTGAATCACATTATTATTAATGGTGATTGTATTTAAAATAATTTTTTTGAAACGTCACCTTGACAGTTTTTGATACAATTGCTAATCTAGGTTATGTTATTATTTATAAACAAGTTATTTTTCCAGATTAAACCGTTTTTATATTGTGTAATGTTGGGTCATTACTGAAAGAAGTTGAGAAATGGTTGAAAAATCTAAAATGAATGCCGAAAGCCAAATGCAAGGTAAAAAATGTTATATTTAAAGTGAACGTTATAATTGCAATTTTGATTTTTAAGTGGCTATCGGGCTTTTAATAGAAACTATAAATGATAAAAATCCGACTGTTGTTGAAACGGTTGAGCGTTCTTTACGTAAAATCGCTAAAACTTATCCAAATGAAGTTTTAAAATCATGTTGTCAGTACTCTGAAAGGCAAATAAGAAACAGCGGGGATTTGATACCAGTTGTTCTAAATATAATGGATATTGTTTGCCAGGATTATATTGTCCAAATCGATGGTGATACTGTTTTAGAAGTCATCACATTATGTATGGACCTAATGATTCAGAAACCTACGTTTGAGCCCCATTTACAATTAGCAGCTTCAAGTGTTTTGGTAGCATTAGGAAATAAACACTGTATTCAGGTTGGTGCTAATTAAAATATTTTGGTTTAATTCAAGAATCATGTCACTTAAAAATCTTTTTTTTTTTAATCCTCAGTTATTCATGTGCAATTTTGTAACATCTTTAGTCATGCTAGGTGTTCTGGACCTATAAGCAATAATTTTAGTTTTTATAAGAATTTTATATAAAATTATAATGTAACTTAATTTTGGGTATGTTATAGACTACCCATTACATTTACCCACAATATAAATACAGGTAAACGCTGTTTTACGCCGGGGTTCTGTTCCAAGAGACACCGGCGTAAACAAAATCGGCGTAAATGGAACAAAAATATAATGGACGATATTATAAGTTTAGGTTCCATGTCAAAATTCTAAGAACAATCTAACATGTTTATTTAATACATATCCTATGCAGGGTATATCTGAATAACTGCAACAAACTTCAAGGGGTGATTCTTTAGTGAATTTTAAGGCTACTTTGATATATGAACCATAGACGACTTCGGCTCCTCTAAGAAGCTACAAAAATCCCCCTCCAAAAATGGCGGAAAATTTTGGTTTAATTTTTTTTTCTCATCTCATGAACCATAAATGCTAGGAAGATTAAATTTGGGGAATATGTTTAACTCATAATAGGGCACGTTTTGACCCTACTTGTACTTTCAACCTATCCTTCTAAACTACTAAACGTAACCACCCCCTTTAAATTTTTGCTAAAATTTTTTTTATGCAGATGATAAATACATTAGAAAAATTTTACGTAGGTAGATGAAATTATCCTAAAACTTTTTTGTCTCTCTAAAATTTTTCCAAAAACGACTAATTTTTGAGATAAAAATAATATAGCAAACATTGCCCGTTAAACCACAAGGTTGTCGATCAAAAATTAAACAAGACGCCGGCGTATACAAAATCGGCGTAAAATGAACAAAACAACAAAATAAACACAAATACAATGGACGATAAGGTTAGGTTCCTTGTCAAAATTCTAAGAACAATCTAACATGTTTATTTAATACGTATCCTATATATATTCAAAATAAATAATAATCTCTTGATATAAATAATGAAGTTTTGACTAAATTAAAGTCTCACGCGTTTTTGAAAAAAACATCCGATTTCATTTGCTTTGATTGTTGCTTCCTTTCTTGCAGAATCATAGCATAAGGTCGAACGGCAGCTGTGACACTTCTTTTAACATTTGCGCTTCGATTGTAATCCCCATCTATCTCACAGAGCTCACCTGTTAACCTTGCTATAGAGGAAAGGATACGAGTTAGATCATCCGTTTGTAGGATTTTCCTATCATTTTGTTTCTCATCCTTCTCTTCTTCTTTAGGATTTTCTAATTGAGGGCGATCATATGCCTCGATCAACTAATGTTATTTACCACTTCTACACTTGCACCTTGTATAAATCCAGGCAGAAGTTAACGCCAAAGGCCGTTTAAACAATTGTTTGTTACTTCGTCCCAAGCAGACTTTAGATTTTTTATTCCTTTTAAAATGTCGTATGATCGCCAATAATCTTTAACGGTCCCATTGGAATTAGTATCTATCGCCTTAATCATTGCTTTTAATGTTATGCGCAAATAATACGCTTAAAGGTAGAAATTACCCTCTGATCCATGGGTTATGAAACGGACGTTGTGTTAATTACCTTGACGTCCAACCCGGTGTCTAAGGTATCAAGATTTTGTGCACGTCCTGGGGCATTGTCTAGTAGGAGGATTGCTTTCTTTGGAAGGTTATTTCGGTCACAAAATTTGTGCACAGTAGGGCAAAAATAATTTTTATACCAGTCTGAAAATCTTCTGAGTGAATCTCCTGGGAAATCCCACGCCGGCGCAAAACGACGTTTATATTTATATTCACTTCGCTACTATTTTTATTCATTTTACTACAATTTTTATACTGTTTTTATCCATTTATATCTTGAAATAAGGAAATTTACGTAATTATCGTACAATAAATTACAAAAATATCTTTACAGAAACAGTGTCAATAATTGTAAAAAGCAAAACATCAAAAAAGTCACAAAACCATATAAAACTTCTAAAATAGTGTGGGCGTAAATAATCTAAATAGTGATCCGATGCAACTGACCAGTAAATCCCCCGATTCATGAGAAACTAGAGTGAATTTCGAGGTATGAATTTGTGACAAGATAACTAAAGCAGTATTCTGAGATGGCACGGAAATATAGCCCCTCATTTTAGAGATTGATACCTTCGTAACTGCTCGATGAAAAAAAATGCGGTAAAGTTTATTGTAATCAGTGAAAATTTCTGCGTATCATATGTTAATTTGGTTAAATTTTCTGGTCCGCGGTTTTTCTTTTATCGCGAGTTAAGTGAAAAAAGTACCCGATTTTGAGAGTGCCAGCAACTTTGTCTACTTTGCGATTTTTTTTCTCCAAAACTATTTGACGAAAAGATGTGAAATTTGAACTGGTGGTAAACCGATGTGTTCTTAATGTGGGGCATATTTTATTTTATCGATATTCCATATAGTTTCGCGGAAAATCGCGGTTATTTCGAAAACAACCTGGCGGATTTCAACGCGGTTTTCACCAAAATATGTCAAACAATGTCGGTTGTGGGATTCCGTTATCAGTTTTTCAAAATTAGGGCTCCCTAATTTTTTAAGAGCGATTTAATGGAATTACAGATTAAAGAGAAACAGAAATAAACCATGCGGGGAGGGGAGGTTCCGGCCAATCGGAACAGATGGTGCGTTCCAGACAGTACGTCGCGCCTTTATCTTACCTACATAAAGAAATAAGGGGCGTAGTCCTGTCTCTGGAACACACACCAGGACCATCTTTTCCGGTTAGACGAAACCCTCCTCTCCCCGCATGGCTTATTTCTGTTTCTTTTTAATTTGTAATTCCATTAAAGTATTTGAGTCAATTTTATACAAATATATCTACGCACATATTAAGCCCTACATAACACCGTACATACACCACAATCGATCAACTGTATCAAACCTAGTTTGTTTTATACAATTTGTGTCCGACGTGCTAGATGATAGAGGCCAAGTAGATGTTGTTTACCTAGATTTTCAGAAGGCCTTTGATCAGTTAGATCATTATGTGTTGTTGCGCAAGTTGAGTTCCGTTGGATTTAGTAAACCTTGGATCTCCCTTATGGAGTCTTACCTTCGAGATAGAGAGCGGTGCTCAGATACTTCAACTGCAGTTCGTATCCTATTCGGCCAACATCGGGAGTGCCTCAAGGTTCAAACCTGGTCCACTTCTGTTTCTCATCTTCATCAATGATATCATGGACTCCATTGATTGCGGTAAACTACTTTTTGCTGACCTAAAAATTTTTACCTCAGTTCGCTCTTCAGAGGATAGTGTTGTTCTTCAGAGTGGTTTGGATAGTGCTATCGAGTGGTGCGCGAATAACCGCTTGTCTCTAAATGTGTCGATATGCGCCGTTGTTTCCTACACCAGAAGTTCTCTGATACACACAAAGTACTGTATTGGTCATGAAGTCTTGCAGTGCACTAATAATATTACAGACTTGGGGGTATCTTTTGATTCAAAACTAACATTCATAGACCATGCAACTAATCTGTGCGAGAAATGTTATCGAACTTATGGTTTTATATATCGCAATTGTAAAGAAGTTTCAACCATTGGCCTTCTTACTATTTTTAATGCTCTGATTCGTTCGCGCCTTGAATACGCATCTTTGATTTGGCAAGGTTTTTATGCTGTACATGTTAATTTATTAGAGCGCATTCAAAGATTATTCTTAAAGTTTTTGTCTTACCGAATTGCCCAAATATATCCCCTTAGAGGTATTGATTACAGTATATTACTGAACCGATTTGATGTAGTATCACTGTCAACACGTAGAATAACAATCGCTGTGAGATTTTTGTATGGTTTACTTTACGGTTTGATTGCCTGTTCACAGATTTTATACATGATCAATTTTAATCGTAGCAAGATCGACGCGTGTTTTTTATTGCAACTTCAACAGAACAGTGTTGTCTCAACGCTTCCCAGTGTCGTTGATGTGTAGTTATAACCAGATTTCCACTGAATGCGACATTTTTACCGATACCTGGTCATTCATTAACAATAAAATCATAGATCACTTCACAATTATTTATCGCTAATATACCTTTTCGCCTTGATTGCCATTCATTATATGTGAAATACTATTTTTCCATTTTGATATATTCATATATCTTACAATTGTTATCATTACTACCTATTATTTTTTGGATGTTACTACATTTGTATTTTTTTCTTTTTGTATTACCTGATTAATATTTATCCATGTTTACCGAACCCTAATAAATGAATAATTCTCTCCTAAGTAAAGAAGGCTTGTGCGCGCATTTGTGATTTGGCTTTGGATAAGTTAACATTTTAGTAGTACTGTATTTTTAGGACTATAAGACGCACCTTTTTACATAGAAAAATGGACTCAATCTTTGGATGCGTTTTATGGTCCGAAAAATACGGTATATTTTTCTGAAAAAAGATTTCACTCAAAATGATTTCAGTTTTCCTAAAGATAGAAAATAAAATTATTTTTAACTATAAATTGTCACAAAACCATTTAGAGATTTTTTTATGCGGTTAGGCGACGGAGGTTGTGATGAGGTTGTGGGTATTGTAACAATCCTACTGCACTACAATTCGAACAAGAATACAAAAAACTATTAGTGCATACCAGCAGTAAAGGGGGAAAATCTGGAAATGCAATTGCATTAGATTATACTAATATTTTAAATTGTTCATCAATACTCAAAAATAAAAATGATGAAATTGAAACACTGGACATTATAGACGTTGCGAACTTAGACAACATGTATTTAACTACCACTCTAAAAACTAATATTACTTGCCAATTTTGTTTAAATATAGTAGAAGGAACTAGTAATATTTCAATGCTGCAGATACAAAAGACATATGTGATTTTGACTAAAGCTTCTAAGTTTGTAATCGAACCTTACTTAATTAGCGAAAAAATTATTAGAGACTATAAACGACAAAATGTAGTATTCAATAACAAGAACATACTTTTAAAGTTAACTAATCCCATTTTATTAAGTTTACTTCAAAACATTTATGATCATTTTGGAGATCATGCACATGATGATCATGAATGCGTGTGATGATGATCGTGAATGCGTGGGATCTGTATAAGGCTAAAAAAAATCTCAGAAGACTTATAGATGAAACAAAAAATAGCACAAACGAAAGCAGGTAGCATGATAAAAAAAGATCTAATAGAGTTCAAACAAATAGAATAAGTTGAAGCTATAGAACTACAACAAATTGAAGAGGAGAGATTGAAACGATAATAAACAACTTGAATGAAACAAACACTAAGGATGTGTATGGAATGACAACAAAATTACTCCAGAATATAGAACCTATAATAAGGGAAATATTGTGTAACCTATTAAATAAACGGTGTTTAGACGGTGTGTTTCCAAATGAACTGAAATATGTAAGAGTAACTCCAATTCATAAACAAGGGGACGCGAGTAATAAAAGTAATTACAGACTGATATCAATAATACCCGTAATATCCAAAGTTTTTAAAACTGCAATAAAAAACAGGATCATGGACCACATAAAGGACAATAATCTAATAACACAATATCAACATGCATATCAAAAAGAAAAATCAACAACATCAGCACTGCTTAGTGTAATCCAAAGTATAATAACTGGTTTTGATACGCAACATTATACACAAGTAGTATTCTGTGACCTAAGTAAAGCTTTTGACTCAGTGAATCGCCAAATTCTTCTGAAAAAAATGGAAACATTAAATGAAGCAAAAAATTGGTTCGAAGTAAACAATCTACAACTGAACAGAGAAAAAACACATACACTTACCTTCTTCACAAAACAAAACCAGGAGGTCAGAGATAATACTACAATGTTTCTAGGAGTTACACTATCAGAAACTCTATCATGGAGGGACCACATAAAAACATTGAAAGGAAAATTGGCAACGGCACTGTATTGTTTAAGAATGTTAGCTAAAAATTTACCGGAGGAAGAAATAAGGAATGTATACTTTGCGTACTTTCATAGTATGGCTATATATGGCATACTTACCTGGGGCGCATCTAGTGAAGCGGGTGAGATTTTTAAATTGCAAAAAAAGCAATTAGAATACTTAAAAAATTGGGTTATAGAGAAAGTTGCAGAGGCTATTTTAGGGAGTTGAAGATACAGACAATACAATCCTGTTTTGTTTTTTCTTGTCTACAATATGTTCATGTGCAAAGAGAGACATTGGAAAGAAATATAGACGCTCACAACTGCAGTACACGATATGAAAACAATTTACTGGTACCTTTACACAGAGTACAGAAGTCACAAAATACTTTCAAATATATTTCAATAAAACTATATGTATAATGCTCTACCATCAAGAACAAAGCAATTAGACGAGAAGAAATTTAAAGCGGAAGTGAAGAAACACCTAATAGAAAGTGAAATTTATTCAATTCAAGAATACATACTATGGAAGTAAGATGCCGGGTACTACCTAGCAGAGGAAGAGGAACTTGAAGTCAATTTCATGTATTTCTTTTCTGTTTTTTTTTTTTCATTTATTAAGGAATTGAATGTATAGTAGAAACCATGGGAGCTGACAGTGACAGATCGCTTAAAAATGGTATGAATCAAGATATGGACGTACGACTTAGATTATTTCACCACATACATTTAAATGAAGGTTATGTTAGTAATGGAGGTTATATGTCAAACATTGTCAAAGATATTATTTAATGATTTTCCTTTCAAAGAAAACATTTTCGGCTTGTAAAAACACTAACAGAGTCATGACAACGCTCACAAGACGTTTCGATTTGAGGTTATAGTTATAGAGTTACATCCCTTAGAAGAACAGACGTACTTTTTCGACGCGACCATTTGAATTGTACAGCAGACATATTAAACTAATGCTATCTCTTTCTAACACACATTACTCGCTAGCGGTTTGTGAACTACGTATGGCATTTGTAAGAGCGGAAAACGATGCCAGCTCTCGTGGCGTCTACTATACCATGTTTTGTACATTTGAGAAATAAACTATTATTATTATTATTATTGATGGGCATGAAATACACTGTATAAAGATAATAACAACAAAATTTATTAACATAAAGTTATTTAATGAAACCAAGTTAATAAATCAAGAACCTAGGCTTTGACATATGTTAAACAAACAAATATTATTTTCAAATCAATGAGAGTTATTTTAAACTTTATATTTATAAATTAAGTTTTAAGTTTTTATCATGTAATATAAATTTTTAAACAAAATACCAATGTAATTTTGCAAACACAATATTTTTACTGCAATATTTACCATGAAAGTACTGTAAAATTCTAATCATATAATCTTTAATTTACTTGTAAGAAATAAACCGTTCACAATTAATACGGTTATAATTATAAATTAATTAGTTACAAAAGACTCAAAAGAACTCAAAGTTTACATTCCTTAATAAACATTTCAAGCATGCTCAATAAAAAAAAATAATGATACTATACATTTCTTCATGTAAGCCACTGTGTATGTCTGATTTTGCCGAAACTATACACGCCGGTGGCTTCAATCTCGTATACGGGCGGAGATAGGCAATGCTGCTTCTAGTTATACAATTTCTTTGTAAGATATATCACTATGTTGCATATTTTTATTGCACTAAAACTAGAACTAGAAACATTCTAGATACTTTCTAGTTCTACGTCTAGTGTTAGTTCTAGTTTTACATTAGCACTATCACTAGAACTAACACAAGACCTAGAACTAGAATCATTCGGGTTTAGCAGTCTCGAGAGATTTGCGCCTAAATCCGAATGTTTCCAGTTTTCGGTCTAGTGTTAGTTCTAGTATTAACACAGAGTCAATTGACACACAGTCTATCTGACAAAACGTGTCGTCACATCAAAATTTGATGTGGTTTTTCGGTATGTTCTACACTTTTCCGCACTTTCTTTATATTTTTAACGTGTTTTTGGGGTCATTTTGAGTCACATTGATTAAACAAAAATCGTCGATTTTTAAGTCGCATGATGATTCTTGAATTTTTCCAATATTTTGACGAAATGTAAAGAAAAATTATTTTTTTCAAGATTATGGATGTTTTATTAAAAAATTTTCAACCAAACGTTGTTCCGCATTATACAATATTACATACAATGGGAGCATTGGCTTCTGTAAACACATTTGGGGTTATTCCTTATTTGAAAACAATCTTAGAAAGGATTTTACCACTATTAGGGATGTTAAAAACGGATCCTCTAAAACAGGCTTTTTCTTATGGTATTTGAATAAAATTAAGATTCCAAAATAATTGTTTATTTAATTTTATTTTTCAGCTTTAGAAAGTTTTTCTGAAAGCCTATTAGAGTACACATCAAATGTATCGCAATCTCCTCCTGATCCAACTATAAAAATAGCAGATTTTCAAGATGAGATTTCAACAGCTTACGAAGCATTATTTACAAATTGGTTACATTCGAAAGAGGCAAAAGTAATCGAGAGCGTTTTAAACTCACTTTCTGCTATGTTTATGATTTTAAGTACTGAAAAAATACGTCAGCACGTCCAAAAAACTATTCAAGTCTTATTAAACTTATACAAAAAACATAAAGAACCTCTTCCAATCATAAAATGTTTAGTTTCGGTTGTTTCAATTGCTTCAAAGTGCGATGGGACTTTACTGGAACCACTTTTAACACCCGTTTTACAAATGTTATCCGATTTAATTTGCGTTTCGCCAGATTATGCTCAACCAGAACTTCTAAGAACACACTCTGAAGTGTTAAGATGTTTTGAATGCTTCTCTATGCATTACACTGATGATATTATCGGTCATATTTTATTGCAAATGAAAAATAATAACGAAAAAGATCGTGTTAAAGGTTTATTGGTTTTAACACATTTAATTAATACAACTGATGCAGTTATTAAAAATCGAAGAGAAGATATTTTGGCGGTTTTGATGGGGATGTTAGTGGAAAATAATTTAAGAATAAAAATGAGTTTAATGAAAGTTATTGTAGCTTTGGCTTATAAAGGATTTTTAATTAATAATGGTAAGTTTTAATTTTAAAAATATGAGGCTATGTTGTTAATTTTTGTTATACTTTTAGATATAATAACAGAAAAATGTATACTATTCATCATAAAATTAACATTAAAACAATTACCATATAAAGAAAACGATTTTTCTGAAGCTTCTGATTTACAATTAACCGCCGATAACACTTTATACATGATAACGACATCGGTAAAAGATTTAGAACCAACTTTATGGGATTTATTATTAAAATGCCTATTCCTTCACGAATATTACGAGGCAACGATAATTATTCTACGTTGTCTGACGCATTTATCATCGAGAAAAGCGGAGACGTTGTCATGCGAAGGTGCTTTTATAAGATCCTTGGCGATATTAGCACAACCTTTACCGAATTTCCGAGGAACTTTCGCTTTAAATTTTTTGAGAAATATAAAATTATTTGATAAACAAGCGTTAAAATCAGTTTGGGATATTAAGATACCGCAACTTTTAAAATATTTGGAACAGAATTACGATCATTTTAACGATAAAGAATGGGAAGATTTAATTTTTGATTTCTTACATTTACTGTTGGAGAATGTTGAGGAGGAGCATTTTAAAGAGGTTCTTGTTGAAAAGATTAAAGAACAATTACCATTATATGATGTTAGAAGGTTAGTAAATTTGTTTAAATTTTAAGAAAATAGGTGGTTATGATTATTGAAGCATAAAAAGTTATTAAATGTATAAAAGATGTTTAAAGAAAGTTAAGATTACATGATTATAATACAATTGAAGAGCACTTTATCCAAAACTAACTAAGTCCAAAATAATTATTCGTAGATATGACTGAATTTCTGTAAAAAGTTGAAGTTGAATAGACTATAGAACACATTCAGTGGAAATGTGATAATATAAATGTGATATAAATGACTGAAATTGATGATGAAATTTTGTAGTCAAGGAGTCACATGAATATTTAGGATTAATTTTTTTTACAAACAATAGATATTCAATTCACAAATGTTAACCCAAAACTAAACTAAGTCCTTGGGCACAAGTAACATTTGAAAAAATAACAATAATAAACAAGCACAAAACAACATTAAAGGAATAGTTCCGCATTAGTTATTCCCTTTCTCTTCTACTAGATCAACTGTATCCCTCGCCCCAACATTTATTAGAGCATTGTGGTAGAATGTCTTTCCTTCATCAGTTAACTTAATCTATTTCAAAAGATGTTGAACATTACTCGTTTTTTGCACAGTAATTTTATTAATGGTATTACTTTTCAAAACACTATGGGAGAACAGAGAACCAGTATAAGTACTTTTTACATGTATTGCGTTTTACCTTTGTAATAGGTAAATACTCGCTGTTCTGTTATTTTGAATGGTAGTTTTCGTTTAAAGAAAGTACCCATTGCCGTTTTATAATCGTTTATATTCCAGTCCTTGCCATTTTGCAGGACTGTTGAATTGTGTGCAAAAATATCATAGTAATATTCAGGCTTGCGATTTGTTCTCGCCTCTATCATTTTTCCAAATACACGATCAAGTGGCATGAAGTTATGTCCTCTTATAGGAAATATGTGTACAGTTTCGGTAAAGATACTGTTTTGTACATGACACAGTAGCATAAATATAACAGCCGAGTTCTTATTCTGCCCTGGGCATAAATCGGAGAACAGTTACAAGGTGCAAGGTCTGTTTTCAGGATCAACGTCGACATATCTTAATTCTAATAATCCAAGAAAATGTTTGAGCGCAGAACAAACCCTTTACCACTTTCGTTTTCGGTCCACGTATACGAGAACGCATTTTCTCTATTCTGATTGGGCTCAATAATCACAAAAGTAGGATTATACAGCCACAACTGTCTCGTGTAATAAATCTCTGAAATGTTTAACTTTGGCAGAGGCTGATTCTGCTGCATATCGAACGAAACTTTTACTATATTACTAGGCTCTCCTTCCTTTTAAAGTTCATAAAACTTTTTTGCACTTCATTTGTGTTCTTTAAGCTTTGTGGAAAGACGAGTTCTGATCTCCATATTTATAGTATTTGTCATCTCCAACTGTGTTTGTTCACAAAAGGAACACACCTCCGAACGTGTATTTCCAAAACTAATGTTGAACTTCCTAGCGAATATTTTATAATACTTACTGAAGGATGGTAGTTGGAGCATTAATAGTTTTTCTTATATTGCACCACATTTTGTGTAACTTTTTGATTCATAATTCCGGCGGTAAATATAAACGTATCCTTTTATTTCTATGTTTCTAAGTTTAACCAAACTTAGATAACGTTGGATAAATTTAAATTGTTAAAAAAGTCAAGGCCATTCTTTCAAGGCCTGGTGGATGAGGTCCCTGACTTTCCTATTTTTGGTTTGTATTTTCGCGCCAATACGCCCTGACTTCCCTGCTTAGACGGTGGAATGTGGCTGATTCTTTGAAGTTATCATGTGGATGGTGGAGTTTAGTTGAGCTTCTAAGCTATCGGTGTGTCCATTATTCTGCCAGACGGGTGGATAGTAGTTGGAAGCACTGTAAACAAGTCTTATGGCCGAGCACCGTAGGGTTTTTCTTCTTGAGGTGCCTATTCGAATCGAATGTTGACAATTATGATTTTGTTACAGCAGCTTGAAGCAATGCTGCCCAGGTTTCTTCTTCTTCTGCCGCGTCCTCATTTCCTTTGACTTTTCCTTGTTTTACGAATTGGAGCACGGAATATCGGTGTTGATTTCTCATGACATGTCTCAGGTACTCGAGTTTTCTGCGTTTTACCGTATACATTATTTCGGATTCCTTATTCATTCCATATTCTTTGAAGCACTTCCCTTTTCGTCACGTGAAATGGCCGTGGTATTTTGAGTATTAGTTTATAAAGCCACATCTCAAAGGTTTCCAGTTTTTCCAAAATTCCAGGATTCCATGCCATATAACATTGTGAATAAGACATAGTATCTTAGACATCTTACTTTTGTTTCGAGGAATATGTTAAAATATGTAGTATACTTTTGAAAATTTGGCTTATATTATTGAAGTTTGCTCTTGCTCTTTCTATACGGCATTTTATTTCTTGTTCATTGTTCCGTTGCTTATTTATTATAGTTCCTAGGTAACAGCTCTATTCGAGTCCAGTTATTTTTTTTACTGATTATCATCTGTTTTGTTTTTTGAACATTGATATTAAGTCCATATTGCTGACTGTAGTGTGTGATTCGGTCTACTAATGTTTGTAATACCTTTATGCTATCTGCCATCACCATAGTGTCAACTACACATCTAATATTATTTATTCTGACTCCGTTCAAGAGAATACCCTCATTTACTCCGTCAAGCGCTTAATTAAAGTTTTTCTCTGAGTACATATTGAATATTAATGGCAAGAGAATACATATTTGTTTAACTCCACGCAATATCTTCACTTCTCTGTTTGTTCTCCATCAAGTCTTATGCACGCAGCCTGGTTCCAGTAGAGGCAACTTGATGGAATATTTTTTCGTAACCTATTAGACAAATAAATTCCAAGGATTAAGATATAATATTGCACTTTTACTGGTTTAGAAATTTTAATGTTTTTTAGTTTCTATTTTACATGTTTCGCCCGTTCCATGCGGGCATCATCAGAAATTGAAACTTATAAATGAAAAATTAAATGTTATGTAACAAACTATTGTAAAAAATCATTGAATATGCGTTATATGGTAACTTATTTAATTCACGTGCACAACAAGAAGTTAAGTTATATTTAAAATAAATTAAAAATTTTTCTTAAAAAACATTAACGAAATGCGTCCTATTAAAAGGAAATTTTAAGACAAAAAATGAATGTAGAATTTCTATTTCTGCACATCTCTCTGTCGCTTCTTTTTCTGATCTGTGTCCGTTTCTTTTTGTATTCCTCTTTATTTCCTTTAAGTTCGTTCTTCTTTGCTCCATCAATTTTAAGATAATGTCTGTCATCCATGCGTTCCTTTCCGCTTTTTAGCTGATTGTAAGAACTCCTTCTTTGCTGCTTCTACTATCTGGATGAAATTGCCTACCTTTTGCTTTACTAGAAAATGTTGAAGAGTTGTCGTGTCGTATTTAATTTCAGCTTTTTTCTTTATTTTCTTCAATCTCACCTTCATGACTCTTATCAAGGATGTGTGGTATGATTCAATATTTGCTCCTGATAAGTTCTAACTGATGTGACAGAGATTCTATATCTCCTATTGATTAATATGTAATCTGATTTGATTGCATCTGTTGATTCCGACGTCGTGCAACATAGTTTCTGAACGATATTGTTTCTTGTGCGAAATATAGCGTTTGCTTTTTTTTTCAGGAGTGAGCAATATGTTTATTAGAGTTGGGTTGTGCGCCACACGGTGGCCTCATTGTTGTTGAGGTGGAAGCATTTGCACTCTGTTTTGTTTAGATTAGGTGTCAATTTCCATTTTCTATAATAGTATCATCAGATTACTTGTCAGAATTTCCTTCGTCTCCTCCACTGTATTACGGTTAACAGCCAGAGCTAAATAATCGGCGTATGTGAATTTTACGCTAGTAGTATCGCTAGGAATCCGGCATCTCTGCAATGCAGAGATACAAAAGAGTTGGCGCAAGGACAGATCCCCGGGGTAGTCCGACATTTAATATTTTTGTGTAGCTCTGCGTTTGATCCAAAAGGACTTGTCACAGAGCATATTATTCACTAGCAACCCCAGTGTCTTACAAGGGAACTTCCTATTAAGCTTAGGAACTTAAAGTCCGTCTCTCCATGCGGTGTCGTAGGCCGCTTTTAGATGACGGCAGATGTCTTCTCCCAGTTCTGAAAGCTAGGGATATTTCCTGAGTTATACACTTTGTTAAAAATGTCCGTGGTACAGGTTATTCCTTCTTCATCTAGTAATTTTAAGAATTTCGCCTCAATGTTATCTAGTCTTATTGTTTTTATATTTTTCTTTTGTTTCATTGCTATCTCTATCTCATGATTCAGTATGTTGGGTAAGCTGTTGTGTTTGTCTTGTAGAATTTCTATTTCTGCACATCTCCAATTTCAGTTTTTTCAAGTTTCTACGAAAACCATACATTTTAGATATAGGGATGTAATGACAAAGTTCTCTTATTTTTCAGCGTACAATACGCTGCTGAAGGAAAATTTGGGGTTGCCATTTAAAAAATGAAGTTTTCAACTTTTCGAGATAGGGAAATTCGGCGCAAATTTCTGATCCCTGTATAATTTTTTAAAAAACTTTTCAAGGGTTATGTAAGCTATGGGTCCTCTCTGTGCAAATCCTAAGAATATTTAGCTGGACTCGAGTGTAATTTCGAAAAATTATTTTTAATGTAACACTTCACATTAAAAATAATTTCTCGAAAATTCGATAAAAATTGGTACATTCCATTTAAAATAACGAAGTTGTTTCCGGTATAACCGGAAGTTGGAGAAAACTGAAAACATTTTAGCTGAAATAAACACTTCAGGTAAACCCTGTATGCAAATTTTCACAAAAATAGTGCCAGTAGTTTGCCATATACATATACAGGTAATTCAAATTCGACCCCCACCATTGGGATCTCAGAAACCATAAGAGATACAGAAATAGTTAAATGGGGGCAAAGTTGCGTATCTTAGAACTCATCATTTTTCAACTAAGTTTTTGGATCTAGCCGTTTTAGTTTTTAAAATGTGGCCGAAAAACAAAAAAAAATAAAAGTTTGTAAAAGCCATCTTAAATCAGTATTAGTCTACTATTTTAATTCTAATGACAAAGAATAATGTCACTTTCGAAGTATTCTTCATAAGTATTATTTGTTGGTTTTTATGGAAACACTTAGCGCACAAGTTACAGCCTACTATTAAGATATTCGTTCTTTTTTTTAATAATTTAATGTTTTTTTTAATGAAATACATTGTGTAACATATCGTTGAAATCAGAATTAATTATCCTATTCTTTTGTGTGAAAATCAAATATGGCGTTCATAAGAAAAAATAAACCTGATGATAGTTTCACGAAAACGAAACGTCGAAGAAAATTTCTAGTTGTGTCATTACCAGTGCCGGCGCTAGCAAATGAAGCGCCAGGGTGCGGGAACCGGAGTGGCCTCCCCCCCAAGCATTTTGGGCGGAATGCGGGGGAAAAATTAAAAAGTGCATTTTAATTAAAAAAATATATACATATAATCAAAGAAATATAAATAAACTTAAAAAAGACTGGAATAATCATAATCCATACTTCAGCAAAAATTTAAGAATTATACTGGTGAAAAACCAAACTTAAGGGAATAGTCGGGAATACTCTGGTCAGAAGGTTAATTTCCAAGAAAAAGTCTGAAATTGCAATAGTTATAAACTAGACTTCAGCAAAAAACAGGAATTACATTGTTCAAAGTCCACATGAAGTCTGAAATTACTGTTCAGAGAAAACAAAAAATTGATTATAAACCAAACATGATTTTTCATGGCAATACTTATGTGTTCAATAAAAGAATACCAAGAATATGAACAAGAAACCAATGGACTTGTCTTGTTATTGCACAGGACAGGAAATCACCAACACGGAAACTTTGCCAATGCAGGATAAGCACAAAAGCAAAGTAACAGCTGCAGAAATGAGGTAACGGGTGGTACAAGATCCGTATAGATAATAAGAGGTTCCCAAAAAGATGATGATAGACACCCAGAAAGAAGTAGCTGTCAGTATCATGAACAAAACATACATAACGTTGGCAGAAGACTAGTTACTATTTCTAAACAACTAAATACTGCTTTCTGAAGACTAGATACTGCTCTGGAAGATTAAATACTGCTTTCTGAAGACTAGATACTGCCGACAGGTCTAAATACAGCATCTGGAACACTAAATACTGATTTCTAAAGACTAAAATTGCTTTGTGGAAACTAAATACTGCTTTCTGAAGACTAGATACTGCTGACAGGTCTAAGTACTGCAAAAGAAAGATAAGATATTGTTGGAGAAAACATACATAATGTTGGCAGGAGACTAGATATTGCTTCTAGAAGACTAAATACTGCTTTCTGAAGACTAGATACTGCCGACAGGTCTAAATACAGCGTCTGGAACACTAAATACTGCTTTCTAAAGACTAAAATTGCTTTGTGGGACTGACAGGTCTAAATACTACAAAAGAAAGATAAGATATTGTTGGAGAAAACATTAAAAAGGCGACGGCGCCCCCTTTTAGGCAGCGCCCGGATGCAGTGCACCCCTTGCACCCCCCGGTAGCGCCGCCGCTGGTCATTACATTTTTTATAAAAAGTTGCCTTAAGAATGTTTTTTCAGATTCAATAAAGAAGTTATAGGCAAAAAAACGAAAAAGTCATTTTTATGTTTTTCGGCCATATTTTAAAAACTAAAACGACTAGATCCAAAAACTTTGTTGAAAAATGATGAGCTCTAAGATACGCAACTTTGCCTCCACTTAACCATTTCTGCATCTCTTATGGTTTCTGAGATCCCAATGGTGGAGGTCGAATTTGAATTACCCTGTAGACTCAGCACGTCGTAACAGACCCTGTACAAAACTAGTACAATATTATAACGCACAGATAATGGGAAGTTTGTACGCTAGATCGCCAGAATGTGACTTTCCGCAGGCACCCGCCTTATAGAAGGGGTTGTTTCTCGGAAACCGTTGAGGTACAAAACTTTTTTTTACCGGTAAATTAAGGTACAAAACTAGTACAATACTATAACGCACAGAAAATGGCAAGTTTATACGCTACATCGCCAGAATGTGACGTTCAGCCAACCCCCGCCTTATATAAGGGGTTGTTTCTCAGAACCCGTTGGGGTACAAAACTTTTTTTCACCGGTATATTAAGGTACAAAACTAGTACAATATTTTAGTATACTAAAAGGTTCGTTTTTATCACAAAAAACGTTATAGTTTAAAAACCGTAGGAGTACAAAACTTTTCATTGGTGGTACATTAGGGTACAAAACTAGTACAATACTTTAACATAAAGATTTTTTATTTTTGGGTATGTCGGGGGCTGCCTATACTGACCCGAGTTCTTACTTTTTGAGGAAACCTTAACTAGAGGGAGATGTTTATATTTTTCAAAACGCCACCACACTTCAACAAGCTTTACTAAATCAGTTTTTGACACTTAGGAAATTGTTTAAAATAATTGGTTACCATAGTTACTCATGGCTACTGCTATTTTTATCATGTCAAGCAAATTTGAAGAAGTTAATCTTTAAAGTAATTTTTCTCGAAAATTTTCTTACCAATATTATTATTGAGTGTACTAGATTGAGAAAAAGATTTTCTTTCATATTCCGTAATAAAAATGGAGGAAAAAATAGAATCTTCATTTCAGAGATTTTTCCATAAACCATTTAAAATGATTTTACCGCAAATCTCGGTTACTTTATGGACAATACATGTTATACAGTATATAACAAAACTTTTTTATTGTACAATTAATTTGATGTTTTGTTATAGAAATATGGAGAAACGTTTATTATTAAAAACTTTGGCAGTAATAAGTTGTTATTTAACCAATAAAAAATTGGTTGAACAAATATTAAATATAATCCTGCAAAGTGTGAAACCATTTGATCAAGATGAACTTTTATCATGTTCAGAAGCAATCGGAATCTCATCAAGATCAAATTTACGTTTAGTTCTCGACACATTATCAACAATCAGAAAAGAAGTTTTAATAAAAAAGAGTCAATCAATATTTAAGTTTACTTTTATTAAAGATCAAAGTAAAGAAATTGAATTGGAACGAATAAGATTTTTGGTTATAACCAGTTATGGAGAAGTTTGTAAAGAAGCCCCCGTTGAAATTTTATTACAAACGATTGAATCGGAAATTTTACAATTCGTTTTAAACGAATTACAAACGACTAAAGATTTTATTATAAAAAAAGTTTCTTTAAAAACATTGGGCGCTATCGGTGATTGTATGCATCCCAATCGAAATAAACTTCATATTTATATGCAATCTCGAGATGAAGTTTTAACAACAGTCTCTTCACAAATGTTGTTACATAATGGGCCTGAATACGTTGAATTATTTCCGGTTATTATTCCGGTTTTTACATCATTAATTCGTTTACCACATACCTTAGAATCTGATCAACGATTAAACTTATTAAAATTATGTTTTGATAATGTTTTTAATGCAAGCGCTATATATTGCAAATTAACAAACGAGAATTACGGAAATTTGAAATTAGCGCCGCCTGTATATTTAAGTTTTTCAAAATTAAATACGTTAGTACAAGAACTGTTATTACAAACACTTTCTCCTGCAACTTTAGATGAGATTGTAACGTTGTTAGAGCCATGGTTGGTTAAGAAAAAAATTGAGCAACGTTTACCAGCTTTAGAAGCTTTAAGAATAGCTCTACAAACGTATTTGGATCATGTTAAATTTGCTTATGAAGGACCAAGCACTTTTGGACAAACCGGATTAATTTTAGCACGAATTATTCCGAGGTGTACAGATCCAAATAAAACTGCGAGAAAAGTCGCGTTGGATTGTGTTTGTTTAATTTTATCAATCGCGGGGAGATACGAAGGAAAAATGCGAGATCACGACAAACAATTAAGTAACTCTTTAATGCACGTCCAAGAGCAAATTACAACTGAAGATCCAAAATTATTATTTAATTTAACGACGGATTTGGCAAATTGCGTCTCAATGAATATACCCAAATTTCAAATTGGACATTTTGCTGAATACTTAATCGATGGATTATTAGATGTTGAAAATTCAAGTTCAAACGGAACAAGTGTTGTTTTAAACAATTTGTTTAAATTGAAAGGCGGCGATTTACAACAAAATGTGTCCGATTTAGTTTCAAAGCTATTAGAAAGTTTAATTAAAATTCATGATTTAAGAACAAAAGGAAACTCTTTGAACGCGATAAATAATTTAGCACAACATCACTTAAAACCGATTGTTATTGTTTTATTGCAACAATCTTTACCGTTTGATCAATCAACTTGCAACGCTTGGTATTCAATTTCAAATGAATCAATAGTGATTTCTGATATTTTTGCTATTTTAAAGAAAATTTTAAAATCATACCCGTTTTATGAAGAAATTAAAATGCAGTCGGAAACGAATCGAATAGCAACTTTATCGACTTTACAAGCAATTTGTGCATTTTTGGAAATATTTAAAAGTCCACAAAGCCACGAAATATGCAAAAAAGATTTCTCGGAATTATTTACTTTACTTTATATAACTTTAGCTTCTTACATCAACGCTTCACCTCCAATTTTGCATAATAAAACAACGTTAAATCGCGAAGCCTATAAATTAAATCCGTTTAAAATCGCTTTGGATGCTTTAAAACTATTCCTACAGAACGTTGAAAATGCTAAAGGAGCTGCAGAATTATATTTATGTACGGATAATTTAAATTCATTCATTGAAACAGTTCCTAAAATTACCGAAACAATTTGTCAACAAATGCCAGAAACTTTAGGATGGTTAGTTGCATCAATGGGACCTTATATTAGAACAGAAATTGAATTGCAAAGAATAGGAGTTACTGTGTTTTTCGGATCTTTATTAAAATGTAAATTAACGAACCAAAATGTACTCTCCGAAAACGTTTTGGAAATGCTTTTGGATATTCAAGGTGATTCAAGCACTATGGTACGAAAATTATATTTACAAGGATTAGGTTATGGTGCTGAAAATTTAAATAACGATATCATTTATCGACATTGCGGGTCGTTATTAAACGTTTTTATGCAAGGATTAGATTATAATTCAGTTGAGTAAGTAATTAAATTAAAAATTTATTAAGAACTGCTCACTTTCATATGAAATCCACCACCCACTAAAATTCTAACTATAATTTTTAAACTTTAGTAAAATAATGCTTTATTATCAACTAAGAAACGATGAAAGTTTCCGCCGAAAAAACTCAACTGTTATGTTTCCTGTACCATTGTTATCTCCAATTTTCAATATTTTGTTCCTAACAATTAATGAATTTATGCCCATAAAATGTCAGCTTATTTGATTGTCAAACTGTCAAGTAGACGTCTTGTAATGCCTCAAGGTCCGTTGAGTATTGGTTATCATAACTTATCATATTAATAGGGAATTGGACAACCTTATACAATATCTTAAAAAATCCATGATTTAGGGGTATAATTTAATAATAAAGACTAAAAAGGCCTCTTCTTCTCTAAATAATATATTTATTATATTTTATTTACATGGTACCGGTTTCGACATTTCGATTTTTAGAAATACATTTCACGTTTCACGTTTTATTTAATTTATTTCTAGGGGTGTTTTTATTAAACTTTCACTTCATAATAAAATAATGTTTATTTTAATCATTTCTAGGGGTACACTTTAAAACTTATAATTTGAAATAAAAGAACATTAATACGATCGGAACGTTTTACAAATACGACTGTTGCTCTTCGGGATCTCAGAGGCAACTGTTCGACGGTTCGATCTTTTTATTCGTTAGCGCTTTGAAGGGGGAATCCCACATTTCGGCCATCCTGGGATTCATTCGCCTCGAATGGATTGCCTGGACACCAGGGTTTCATGTGGTCAGCACTGCTGGATGTCTTTCGCGGACCTGGGTGGTTACCAACCTTTCCTACATCATACCGGTCGGGACCAATACCTCTAACAACCCGATATGGACCTAAAAATTTAGTTAACAATTTAGATTCGGTTTGAAACTGTGTTCTCTTGATGGCTACGAGATCACCTATATGGTATATAGTGGCAATTTTCCGTTTCTTGTTATAGTTCCGTCGGTTTTCTTCTTGCACCTTCATTATCTGGTCTTTCTGCAGCAATACTGCCCCAAATCCTTCTTTGCTTGCATCTACATGCAGTTCAGTTTTATTGTAATAGTTAAAAATTTTCAATACTGGTTCACTAGTTAGAATCTGTTTAAGAGTCTCAAACGCTTGCTCTTCTTCTTTTCCAAATACAAGCTTTTTGTCTTGCCTTAACATATCGCTTAACGGTTTTGCAATCAAAGAATACTCAGCGATGTACTTTCTGAAATAACCAGTAAGGCCCAGAAAACTTTGAATTTATTTTATTGTTGTCGGTTTTGGAAAATTCACAACAGCCTTAATTTTTTGTTTTGCTGGTTTAACAAAACCATTTTCTATTTCATGTCCTAAATATTCTACCGTGCTTTTAATAAATTGACATTTCTTCCATTTGAATTCTAATCCATTGTCCATCGCTATCTTTAAAACTTTTTCTAATCTCGCAAAAGCCTGATTAACGTCACTCGCTGGTATAATAATATCATCCATGTACAAAATCACGACTCTTTCTTGAATTAAGTCTTTGAAAACATTGTTTATGTAACGTTGAAACACTGCTGGCGAATTGCACAGACCAAACGGAGTACGTAGAAATTCATACTGTCCACCTGGAGTTACGAATGAAGTATCTCACACTTTCTTCGGCTATAGGAACATGGAAAAATCCATTTTTCAAATCCAATGTTGTAAAGATTCTTGCGTCAGCCAACAAATCAATGTGATCCTCTATTACAGGAAGAGGGTAACGATCTTTTATTATCTTCCTATTCAACTTACGATAATCAACACAAATGCGAGTACTTCCGTCTTTCTTCTTTACAAGTACAATAGGGCTGGCGAAATCCGATGTACTCTCTCTTATGATGCCGTCCTTCAACCAATTTTCAATTTGCCTGCCTACCTCATATCTTTCTGGCATTGACAATCTTCTCGGTGCTTGATAAACTGGTGCATCATCTTGTAAAATAATTTTCGTCTGTATGTTTGTTGAAGTTGAACATTTCTTTGGTTTGTAGTTTTCAATCAACTGTTGAACTTTGTCGTAATATTCGTATCTACCAACATCTAAATCATTTTCTGTGTTTATCAGAAATATTTCATTTTCCTCAGAGACACCCACTTCTTCCTTTGGTAGATGATTACAAAATCTAATTTCGTTAGAAGATATTGTCAACGTCACTTTTTCTAATATCGGCTTACCAATAAGTAAATCCATGGGCATGGCATCATCAGGTACTATGTGTACAGTCGTTTTAAATCCACACTCGTCTACGTTTATATTACCGTTGAATTTACCCGTAGTAAATACCGTGTTTACCAGTCCTCGCAAAGAAATTGACGTCTCTTCGAAATTTGGCGAGCCTAATTTTAAATAGCTACTAACTTTAATTAAATTCAAGTCGCTTCCAGTGTCTATAAATCCACAGAATAATTTGTTGTTAAGATATAACTGCTTATAGCCTGGTTTTTCTTCTTTAGTTTCTTTTATGACGTACGATTGCTTCTTCTGGTTATCAGCTTTCAGAGGCAACTGTTCGACGGTTCGATCTTCTTATTCGTTAGCGCTTTCAAGGGGGAATCCCACATATATTTCATTTTAATGTTCTTCTTCAGTGATCTGATGCTTTGTAGATTTGGCTGATGATGACATGTGAACATGTCGAAACCGGTACCATGTAAATAAAATATAATAAATATATTATTTAGAGAAGAAGAGGCCTTTTTAGTCCTTATTATTAACTTATACAATATGTTTACTCGACGGACCTTGGTAATGCCCCCAGTGCGACGTCACATTACTGGACACAGTACAGTTGCTCGGATATGGTCTTTATAATCCGAAGAAGGTATTCAGAGGCGCCATCCTTCTGGAAGACCCGCCCAAAGAAGTAACGCACGTAAAGACCGACTCCTTAGGCTGATGGCTACCAGGGATCGATTTCAAACAACAAGGTCGATTGCTGTGAATTGGATGAAAGCTTTGAATCGACACTTATCGATGGCAACTGTTTACAGAAGAATTTCTTCCTTTAGGTTTCATTCATACCGTCCTTACCTTCGGCTTCCATTAACACCTATAAAGCAAGCCAGACTTGCATGGTGTCAAGAACGGCAAGGGTGGGTTCATCAATGAAATGACATCGATCATCTTCAGTGATTTATTTATTTAAATGTGTTTGGGATGCAGACGGGTCAAGCCCAGCGAAGCATCCGCTAATAAGTACAATAAAAAATATGCAGTTAACAAGAATTCTTAACAGAAATAGATAATTCTGAATAACAAGAAAACGACAATGGTTGAAATTAACAATAATATGTAAGCAAAAAATCAACAGATAATATATTAACAAAAGTAAAAACAAAAGAAAAAACAGTCAGCTTATAAACGACGACAAGGGGGCAGCGAATATATCAGAATCTGAGCAATAATGGGTGAAAGTAGACATAAGGCGAGGAATCGCGGAGTTTGAAAGTGCATAGGTATTAGTGCGCGACACAAAGAATAGTGACTTTTCACGGGATGCGCTGGAACTTTAAACTGTATCTCAGAGAGTATCGTGGAGCAGTCAACAATACCGTTAATAAGTTTGTAGAGAAAAATTAAATTATTTATATTGCGCCTGGAGAAAAGCTGCGGGCATAGTCGCAGTAAGGTGAGAAAAATTTATGTGCAAGGTACCTAAGAAAACGCTTTTGTACTTACTCCAAGCGATCAATGTAAACAATGTAAATGCGATATTGAGGGTTCCAAACTGTAGATGCATAGTTAAGTACTGAAGACACATAGGCGAAATAAAGTGAACGAATACAGGATAGATCAGTGAAGGGTCGGCATGTACGACATAAAAAACCAAGCATCCGGGAGGCCTTGTTAACAATAGAATCAATGTGAGCGGAGAAAATAAGTTTGGAGTCGAAAAGAACGCCAAGATCTCTAACGCATTCGGATTGTTTGAGGGTGTTAGAACCAAGCAAGTAATCAAAAGCAGTAGAATAGCGTTTACGTGTGAAAGTAATCTTGCTGCACTTGCCATAATTAATATAAAGATTATTAATTGTACAATATGCTTGTAGTCTGTCCAAGTCGCTTTGCGACTTTGCACAGTCTTCAAGCGAGCAAATAGGTGCAAATATCTTGCTGTCGTCGGCATACAGAATTTTGAGTGGTGAAAGCAGGTATGAATGTTGTTTATGTAAAGCAGAAATAGCAACGGTCCCAGATGGCTGCCCCAATTAGGTTTCGCGCGCCACATTTATGTATGGGAATTATTAGTGCCTTCTTCCATTCAGATGGATAAGTTGCTGTGTGAAGGGAGGTTTTAAAAATACACGCCAGTGGTTCAGTGAGCACTGATGCACATTCACCGTAGAATAGGCCGGGCAGACCATCCGGACCCGCTCCAGCCCTGGGACTCACGGATGACAATTCATGCAAAATGTCGTCCCGAATAAACCAGGGCTCGATGTATAGGGAGGAGACTCCACGGCTACCGTCCCCGCATCCTTCAACAAATACAGATCCGAAATAATCAGCGAAAAGGTCGCAGATATCCTGCTCACCCGATTGCAATACGACAACTTACCGGGAATAGTTATGCTACCATTCTTTTTTGATTTAATGAAAGACCACAGACCGCTTGGATTATCACGCATGTTAGATTGTATGGTGCCCAGAAACAGATTATAATCATTTGTGATTAAGGCTTTACTACGAGCACGGAGAAAACGAAACGTTTCATAATAAGTATGGTTCCCCGTGGTCTTCCACTTCTTATGGAATTTAAGTTTTTCCTTAATGCCTTTAATGGTTGGTAGAGAGTACCAGGATGGAAATCTACGTTTATAGGTAGTTTTCTGAGGAACAAATTTCTTGACCGCTCCACGAACAAAAGAGTAAAACATGCTCACTGCTTCATCGGCCGCTAAACGACCAACACCATCGTCCCAATCCACAGACGCGAGACATGAACGTAGACTCCCATAATCAGCTATATGAAATAGGTATTTATGAAAACGATTGTCGCGGAGAAGGCGCTGCGAGACACAGTTAATTGAAAGTAGTAAAGCAGGATGATGGGTATCCACGCGCACCAATGGTCCAAGGCATTGGGCCCTCCATTGAAAGCAAAACTTATTAATCTCAAAACAGAAGTTAAACACCTAGGGGTAATACTAGACAGTAAACTAAACTGGAACTCACACTTATTGTTAGATAAGGTGAGGAAAAAGGCCATTATGACAAACCAGATCTGCTGCAGGCTCCTAGGAAGAAACTGGGGTGTCAACCACGAATGGCTCACTGGGCCTACGTAGCAATAATCAGGCCCATGGTCGCTTACACCTCATTGATTTGGTCACCAAAAACAAAACATAAGACAGCACAACAACAGCTGGCACAAATCCAGCGATTAGCATGTCTTAACATAACGTGTGCAATGAGATCCTGTCCGACGGCTGCTTTGGAAGCCCTACTTGGGTTCACACCGCTCCATTTATATATACAAAAGGAGGCAGCTTCAGTGCCTTATCACTGAAAACAGTTTCTTCAGTCAAGTTGATGCAGGGTAACCTCAGAGGACACCTCGAAATCCTCAAGGAGCCATGTCTAAATCACCTGATTGAAATTAAAACAGACCTTATACTGACAGAATACAATTTCAACCACCCGTATAAGGTCATATTTAGAAGCAGGGATGATTGGGCGAAGGGAGGGTCTCAACTAAAAAGAGGAGCCCTAGCCTGGTAAACCGATGCTTCAAAGACAGTTAGATCCGGAGTAGGCATGGGCATCAATGGACCAAATAGTCACATTAAACTGCCCCTCAGCTCGGACATAACAATTTTCCAAGCAGAAGTTCTTGCTCATAAACTTCTGCACCGCTTTGAACCTACGGAAGGGACAGAAAGGTGCATCTAAAACATTTTCACAGACAGTCGGGCCGCCTTAAAGGCCATTCAGGCCTATACGTGTGACTTCGCACTGACCAGAGAGTGTACCAGCAACCTGAGATAACTCGTTAGGGGCAATGATGTACAGTCGGGATCTTGGGAAATGCACACTCAAGGTCAAGCGCTGTTGTGAGATCCGACATGCCGCTGGCTAAAAGGGCTGATCGCCCACGAGTCAAGAGCTTCGTGAGCGCCCACGAGACAAGAGCTTCGTGTGCGTCGGCTCAGTCCGTTTAGCCAGCGGCATGTCGGATCTCACAACAGCGCTTGACCTTGAGTGTGCATTTCCCAAGATTACGACTGTACCCTATGGTGGGTTCCAGGTCACAACAACATTGAGGGCAATGAGAAGGCGGACAAGTTGCCCAAAGAGGCAACGAACACGCTCTTCATTGGACCCCAACCTAGCTGTGGACTACAAAAAATCCACCTAAAACAAATAATCAACAATTGGGAGGTCTCAAAGGTAGCCTTACGCTGGGAAGAACTTCCAGGTCACAGACAAGCGAAGAGTATGATAATGCCGTCGCAAAATAAAACCAAAGAGGTTTTATGCCTCAGCAAGGGGGATCTAAGGACGCTCTCAGGGTACCTGACCGGCGATGCCAATACCACCTCTTCCACATTGGACAAACTGAGATCAAACTTGTCGACTTTGCAACGACGAGTCAGAAACTGCTAAACATATACTGTGCACTTGCGTCGCCAGAGGCCGTCTAAGACACAATATTTTCGGTAAAACTCCCTTGACACCTACCGACATAAAGATTCAAGACCTCAGGGCAATACTAAGGTTCATCAAGGACCTACATTTGCCCTAAATCTTTGGAGGGCTAAAGTTACAATAGATCTTATAGGCCGCGATAACGAGAAGGGCCGTTCCCGTTCCAATAATAATAAAATAATAATAGAGAGCATGGGTGGAAGAGTTACTAGCTTTTTCTTGAAAAATGCTAATTTTTGTCTTGTTTTTTTCAACTACACTTTCATCGTTTCTTAGTTGATAATAAAGCAGTATTTTATCGAAGTTTCAAAATTGTAGTCTAATTCTTAATGGGTGGTGTATTTCATGTGAAAGTGTGTATTATAATTTTTTTTTTTATTTTAGTGATTCCGATGTAGTGTTACAAGCAATGTTAAGTTTTTCAAAACTTTTAAAAGTAGTTCAAGAAAATCATTTAAATCAATGCCAAGTAATGGCTGCTGTAAGAATAAAACCTTTGCTACAACAAGATAATAGTAATCTAAGAAGAGCATCTTTTTGTCTTTTGGGCGATTTGGCAAATTCAATAAAAGGTTCAGATGAAGCATTTCAAGAACAAGTTAATGGAAATTTAATTACTTTAATATTACATTTATGCGATGACGATTTGGATGTTGTGAAGAGTTGCAAATATGCTTTAAGAAAATCTGGCCATTTTTTGCGTTCAACTAAAGTGAACCAGATGATTCAAGAGCATATTTTGGAGGATGGATCTTTGCAATTTATCCAATTTATTAGTGATTTTATTAAAGTTTTGGCTGAAGATTTACAAGAATTATTTCCGCAATTAATAATGGCTTGTTTATCATATTATAAAAGTCCTTGTATGCAAATTAGAGGAAGTGCTGCATTGGTCACAGGTCTTTTATATTCACAATTAAATCTGGAAACGCGAAAGCAAGTTTCTTTTGATACCGTAAGCTATAGGTTGTTACAACTTTTAAAAGATGAAAATCCAGAAGTTAGAAGCAGTGGAGCTGAAGCTATCGCTTACTTATTTGTTGTATAATTTTATTAACCTTTCCCAAAAACTATTTCTAGTATCTTATGTGATAATGTTAATAATATGGTAAAATATTCTTATATTTGTTTGTTGGGTTATTGTATTTTTAATTTTTCTGCTTTTTATCAATAAATAGAAAAAAAATAGAATATTTTAATCCATTTTCATAATTAAGTAAAACATAACCTAAATAATCAAAAAAAAACGTCACTTTGAAGTTAACCTAAAAATTTCTACTTTTTAACGAAAAAACATTTAAAATCCATTAAAACCACAAATATCTTCATATTCTTATAAGATTTCTCAAAAATTACCAGATCATCTTTGCCTTCAATGCATATCTCATTTACACAACGCATTTTTTTTTAAACAACTTTGTGAAAAATCAAATAACACATTAAGAAACTTATTAAATGAAAGAGCAAACACTTTTATGGATTTGAAACTAGCGATCTATCAAAGTGAATTAAATTTAGAATTGTCCCAAGATAATATCAGGGACGTACATAGTTGATGGACACAAATTAGAACCAGAAATTGATGGACTTGCTTGATTAATTAAACAACTTTATGGCTTTAGCGGGAATTTTATTTTTGCCAATTTTGAACAGGATGTTATACAGAGTGTCTCACGTAACTGGTTCGTTAGGACTTTTTAAGGTTCCACTATTCGTAGTGGTTTGAAATTTTGGTAGCATGGGTTGTTCATTCTAAACTTTCGATCTAAAATATTTTCAAGATGGCCACCCCTTCTGGTCTACCGGAAGTAGACCACAACTTCGTTATTTTAAATGGAATGCTATAGTTTTTATTACACCTTTCAATTATACGTAAAAAAATACGTTGACTTTGATAAAAGTTGTTGGTACCTAGCGTTTTTTGTTTTCGAGTTATTTTGATTTTAAGTGTTTTTTGACAAATTTCACCATGGTTTTTAAAAGCCCATATCTCAGCTAACGATCATTCAAAAAAGCTCTGCATTGGCACGACTACTCTACAGATGCTGCCAAATAGATTGTCATTTGTTGTATCAGAGAATCTTATACAGGCTGGTCAAAAATTGAATTATCGTTTCTCAATATTCAATTGCGGGGAAGTCGAACATTTTAAATTGAACACCCCATATTTCTTTACCCTATCAGAAAGGGAATTTAATTCTCTACAAATTATCTATAAACATTCCTATACCTAAAATTTGTTTTTTATTTAAATCAATTGTCATTGCCAAATTTTTATAAAAAAACGGTCTGTACCACCCTAGATACCATGTTCTATGACCACGCTTTATAATATTTTCCACTAAATAATAAGTAAGGTTGTGTATATTCTAAACGAAGTTGTCACTGATTGTCACTTTAAAGACGAAGCCACTAATCTCTCGTCACTTGGCTAATATCTACGTTTTGAAATTAAAACTCGTGAGCAATATATTAAGATAACATAATTAAGTGCTATAATTAAAATTTGAATATTGTTTAAAAATCAGAATTACTGGAAGAATCTGAGTCTTCCGCTAGTTGGATGATGACAGGAGGTAAATCAGTTATTAATGAATTTCCCATTAATGTTGTCCAATCTTTTTTAATTAGTTCTTCACAGTGGCGAACACTATTTGCCCACATCTCCGGAGTGTAATGACCAAGAGCTTTTTGCCAAGTCTCCTTGACACGACAGATCTTTTTCTCCGAGCTGGACTGAACATGTTTATTGTAATAAGTTTTTAAGAACGCCCAACATAGTTCAATGGGATTATATTGGCAATTGTATGGAGGAAGGCGAAGAACAGTATGGCCATGGTCTCTTATTAATTTGTCAATTTCAAAGGATTTTTCAATTTGAGGCTTGTAATAACGGATTATTTCCCATAACGATTTTTTATTTAAGGTTGGTTCAAACTGTATATTATGTTCAGTTAACCATTTTTTCATATCATTTTTTTTTGTGCAGAAACTTGGAGCTTTCTCGATTTGTTTTGAGTGATATGGAGCGTTATCCATTACTACCGCACACTTCGCACCCAAATTATTTAATGCTGGAAGTAATTGATTTTTCACCCATTCCATAAAAATAATTG